CCCCCCCGCAGAGTGGCTACCACCCTGAACGCACGCGCGCGCCATCGCGTGGCGTTGGGCCCCCTGCATTCAGTTACACCCCACTCTCACTGACAAACACACACGCGCGCACGCACACACACACACACACACACAGACACACACAGCAAGACCCACACGATGCGCACCACCCAAAAACTGACACAACCCTGCCGTGGCCCTGTCATCAAACAGGCGCCCCTTCCTCACTCGCTCACCGAGTGACACACCCATAACCCCCTTGACCCACCCACATGTATGCACATGCACAGCCGCATCTAGATCTTGGCACAGCAATAGCCACCTGCACTCATGTTGCCCGCCTCCCCCCCACACACACACATACAAACACAAGCATCGCAGCGTCGCACCTGGCAAAGCCATTGAAAAACGAGTACACCCCTCCAGGCCGCAGCATTCTAGGCAGGTGGCTGTGGAACAGGTGCAGCTCCTCGTAGTATTCACCTGAATCATTATTTGAGAGATTAGCAAATGCGCAGGATGGGTGTTTCATTTGGGGGTGGGTACGGATTCAAGGGGGTGGCTGGGGTGTATTAATGAGCCCGCAGTAGAAAGGGGACCGGGGAGCGGCATGCAGCCTGGGAGAAGGGGTTAGGGGTTGAGTCAGGAAAATAGCTGCGCCACGTTCAACAAAGGGTGAGCAGAGTCCCAGATGGGGCGACCGCTTGGTTGCGGTCTCCCTTTCCCCCCATCCCAAAAGAAAACCGGGTCTCCGCCCCTCCACCGCTGCGCAGGCAGCCGCAGTGTCAGGCTGGTGCGCACCAGCACGACGCTCCGCCCCAACGGCGGCGCGCCCGGGCCCCCCAGCATCGCAAGAGTGGCTGCTAAATACCCACACACTGCCGCTCAAGCTGGCCATGCGAAATTCTGGAAACCAGGTATAAACATAGCCACATGTGGTGCAAACAAGTGTGTGCCGGCCCACCGTAAGTGTCGAAGAATATCCCGTCAAACCGCCGCCGCAGCAGCTCCGGGAGCAGGTCCTGCCAGCGGCCAAAAAGGATGGTCACGCCCGGCCGCGACCCCCAGCCCAGCTCCAGCATGTGCGCGTGGACGTCTGGGGGGTGGTGACGTAATCGGGCGTCAGACGCGACACGCGAGGGCGGCGCGAGATGGGGAGCGCAAGAGCCGCTACCTTGTCAGACGCAAGAAGACGTGGGTGCTTTGCAGGAACCGTGCGCAGAAGGGTGATGAGCGCGGCGGCGCATGCACGCCACCCAATTGAGGACGGCTGATTTGCAGCCAGCCGGGACCCAAACAAAGCGGGCAGCGCCGATGAGGGCTGGCTCCTCGCTGCACCTTCCGCCTGGCTGTCGGCTGGCCCGCAAGGGGCAAGTCGGGGGCTGGGGGCGGGGTGGTCGCAAGAGGGCGGAGGCCGGGACGGAAGGCGGGCGCGCGATGCGGGGCCCCGCCGCACCTGGGTGTGCCTCCACGATCGTGTGGCTCCTGGGGCGGTGTTCTTGAATCTCTTCATCGACCAGGCCCAGGCCAAAGCCCACGTTGAGGACGTCACCGCCACTGCGACAGATCTGGTGTGTCGAGTGAGTGTGTGTGTGTTGGTGTGTGTGAAGGGATCGCTAGTTTGCTTGCAAGTGCGGATGTGTCGATTGTTTGGTTGTGTGTGTGGGTGCGTTTGGGTGTGTGTGTGTGTGTCTGTGTGTGTCTGTGTGCGTCTGTATGCGTGTGTGTGTGTGTGTGTGTGCGCGCACGTGCGTGTGTGCGTGCGTGTGTCCCTTTTCGACGCCTGCAGGCGCCAGGCCCTCACCTCCTTGGCGTGCTCCACCATGAGGGGCAGCTCCCACCCCATCATGACGGCCTCGCCTGCAGGTTTTGGGAGAGAGGGGTCCCAGATCTCGGTCAGACCTCGGTCAAACCCCAAACCCCGGCGGGACGCGGCGCAAGCGGCGCCATTTTTTCGCCGCGCCGCGCCCCGGCCCTCGCCCTGCGGCGCGGCCGCCGCGCAGCCCGCGGGGGTGTGTTGAGGTTTTGGGGTCCTCGGCAGCGGCTGCACTTGTGCTGCCCGGCTGGATGCCCCTGTCCCCTCCGTTCCCCTTTGTGGCCCCACCGCCACGTCAGCACGGGTCCCTGCCACCAGGCGGTACACACACGACGCCCAACACCGCTCCCCGACACATGAGTAACGCACACACGTGCAAACACATGCAACAAAGCCACTCACACAAGCACACGCACAGACACGCACACACTTGCACGCACATCCACACACACAAAGACACACACACAACGCTCCTCCCCCAAAACACACTCACTGACACACATGCCTACAGAGCTCTCAGAACCACACGCCCAAACCCACAAACACACAGATCCCCACACGAGCAGTTGCTGCCTACCAAAGACATCAATCCCCCATCCACTCACCATCAGCATCAATCAATCTGTCCCCATCATATACCAGCTTCTGCTGCAGGTAGGCGGAGCTCGCCGCGCCGGCCGCGCCCTCCTCGCCGCCGCCGCTCGTCCCGGCGGCCTCGTTGCTGCGAGGCGGGCGCGCGCGGAGGGTCAACACGGGGCCAGCGGGGACGCCCGGGGCGGCTGCCCCGCACGTACGGCCATGAAGCCGGTCGATGGCTGCATCCGCGTCGCGCCGCGAGGCGGCCCGGCCGCTCGCCTGCGTGCGCCCGGCTGTTGGCAGCTGCAGTGACTCATCCTGCCACGGACCCCCTCTGCAAGTTGGGCCCGAATTCCTCCCCCGTGCTGCAGCCGCTGGGGGGCGGTGCTCTGCACGGCGCTAGGCCGCCCCGCCCTGCGGCCCCTTCCGCCCGCCCTGCATCGGCCCCACGGCAAGTGCCACCGCGTCACATGAAGTTGCATAGCGTCGATCCACAATTGCGACACGGCCCTTGCTTCCGGCACACACACACACACGCACGCACACACACACACACACACACAAAAGCGCGCGCGTGCGCTTGCCCACCGCTCCATGGCGCCCAGCAGCTGCTCGCACTGCACGCCCCAGTTGAGCAGCATCTCGATGACGTCAGCGTTCTTGGACGCGTTGGCATAGTCGCCTGCGGGGCCGGGCCGGCGGGCGCGGGGGCGGCGCTCGCGGGCATGGGGGCGGCGCGGATCCCGACGCGTGGGATAGCAAAGCGCACCCGCGAGGGGCGCCCTCGCCTTGCACGGCGCCTGCCCCGCTGCCGCCGTGCTGGTGCAGTGGTGAACATCCCCACGTGTGCAGGACAGGGCGAGCTGCCGCCTGTGTGTGGGGGGGGAGGGGCGCTCACCCGCGCAGTAGCCGTCGTCATCCAGGGCGTTCCAAGGGGCGCCCGCCTGCAGGAGCGCCGCGACGCACTCCGGCGACCCCGCCTCGGCAGCTGCCATCAGCGGCGTCGCGCCGCCCTCGCCGGGCGCGCAGACGTCGGCGCCAGCTGCGATGAGCGCCGCCACGCGGGGCGCGTCGCCGGCCTCGGCGGATTCAAAGAGCTGCTGCTCGGGGGTGGCCATTTGGCACGCGCGGTCGGCGGCAGCAGCGGCGGCAGCGGCGGCAGGACGGCGAGGGTGAGCAGCGGACCGGACGCGGCGCAGGTTGTGGCTTCGTTGGTTGTGGCTTGGATGACGTTCAGGCCGAGAAATTACGTGGATTTATATATTCAAGACTAGGATCGCAGGTGTTGATCTTCTCGTGACAAATTGAAGCTATGTATCGAAGACCTAGCTTCCAGCCGCGCCCAGTTACTATTGTAGGCTTTGTGACACTGGCACATGGCACGGCTCTCACGTTCGGCAACGGGGTCGCACGCCGCGTCACTTGTCACCTGGGCACGCCGCCGGCTGCGGGGTCGCTCGTCAAGGGTGTTGCCAATGTGGTGGGGCTGCAGATCCCTAGTATCCCCATCATTGCATCAACGCCCTAGCCATGCATATGTTGGCTGTGTGACTGATGCGTGTCGCACATGTAGGGTACTGTATAGAGTGAGACGGAGCCAGGGGCAAACGCGACGAGAGCAGTTTGGTTTGTTGGGTGCCGAGGTGGGACGACCAGGCTGCGGCGGGGCCGCTGGTGACGCTAAGCAACACATGATGGACGGGGCGATGGCTGCGGGCGACTATGTTGCCGATCACCTCTGTTGCGGGCGGGTACAGGTTTGGTCGGCGGGTTGATCGGTCCCGCTGCTGCATTATGTGAGGTCGACGCGCCCGATGCCCCCTCGTATGGCTGCCAAGGAGCCTTGCGCCCGCCACTGTGCACGAAGCGCCCACCACTGATGCTGCAAGGCCCGGGACCCATCCACTCCCTTTGCTTTTACCGAAATTCAGGGGACGGCAGCGGCTGTGCGGTGCACAGCTGCTGCTCAGGTTCAGCTGCGCACGATCATTGTAGGCACCCCGCTGTCGCGGCCAGGCTGCTGTGAGGTTACCCACCAGTTCCCGGGTCGGGACCCATCAAACTCCATCGCACCACTGATGCACCAGTTGCGTGTTGGACAGCCGTACCCCCAAAAACATCTCCAGTAGGCGTTGCATGCGCGCACATGGCCTGACTCACTATGCGGCTCCCTGTGCGCGGCGGCGCTGGCGGCGCCGCTCATGTCAGCATCAAGCTGAATCTGGGCCCCAGTACTGCGCCTGATGGATTCATTTGGGGCTCAAGACGTTCAGCATCTGCAGCGGTGGATAGATACCGGGCGCAAGGGGGGGGGAGGAGCAAAAGTGGCGAGCGAGGTGTGGCGGTAGAGGGTTTATACATGTGGGGCTGCGCTCCTGTGGTGTGTTGTATGACCGCAGCAACTTGCACTTTGCAGAAAGCGTGCCCGCCCTCGCTGAAGCCGGCGCCGCTCGCAGCCGAGACGGGAAGGATCACTCGGGCCCGCCAGGCGCAGCCGCCGCCGGCCACACTCATTCTAGGGCGGCGTGCATTGAGTGCACGGACACGTGGCGAGCAGCCTGCACGCAGGCAAATTCCTGGATCGTCTGGAAGCTTGCAGTTCACATGGAGTCTCTGTACACTCCGAATGGCTGCAGCACGGAAAGCAGTATCGTGTGGGCGATCCTGAGATCTCTGTCGCTGCTGCGCCTGATTGACTCACACCGGAACGCACGTCAATCCGCATTCGAGTCACCAAGTCGGATCTGAGGCCATCCCTGGCTGAAACGCATACGTTTTGCTTGTCAAGGCAGATGTGGTGTGCGCCCAACGTGGCATTTGGGCGCTGGCCACCGCTTTGGGTGCTGGCCACCGACCGGTGCCATCAAAGGGCCCATATCAGCGCGAGTCAAGGTTTTACACATTGAAATATATTACTTTGGCAGATATTGTATGCACACCCGTGCTGTGGACCTCATGCCGTGACCAGGGAGCGGGAGTGTCTCGCATCAACACAACGCCGGTGGAATCACCCGCTTGGGCAGCAGCGACGAGGCGTGTGCATCCTGCAGCACGTCAAAACGGTATGGGCTCTTGCCTGTCTTCGCCGCCAAAGGTTGCCGATGCGGCCGGCGGCGCCGCGCCGGGCGACGCCGTCAGCCAAGGATCACTCGGCGCGGACGCGCCGGCCGCTGGCGGCGGCAAGACGCAGCTGCCGCGCGCCGCGCGCGTCATCAACAGCTCGGCGTCCTCGTACGCCAGGCAGGGGCTCGCGGCGGATTCGATCGACGGCCTTCGGGTCGGGTCGATCACGCTGTCGCAGCGCGGCGCGAGCGCGAGCACGGGCAGCGCCGCGAGCGCGGCGGAGGCACACCTGCGGATCTTGGAGAAGGTGAGGAGTCACGTGGCGCTGGCGTACGGACAGACGGTCCATCAGCGCGCTCGGCGCCTGCGGGCGCTTGCGGGCGCTTGCGGGCGCTCGGGCGCCACACCGCTCCACGACGGCCGGCGTGCCGCCGCGCGCGAGCTCGCGCGTGCAGGGACCCTCCACTGCATAGCGGCTTCTCGCCCCCACCTCTCATCTACTTAGCTGTCCATCGATCTAATGACCACCATCGAGGCTGGCCAACACCAATCAATGACGCAATACCCTGGTGTCCTCACACCAGGTCCACGCACTTCAGCAGCAGCTAGTGTCAGCGAGCGACAACCCCCTCCTGGGCCTGACGGAAGCTGCCGACCTAGCGGGGCAGCAGCTGCACGCTGACCTCAGCGCGTGAGTCGCGGCCGGGGAGGGAGGAGCCGAGGCGGAAGGGGGCAAGAGGGAGCCGGCGCGGCGGCAAGCGGGCCCATCGGCAACCTGGCCGGCGGCGTCCGCGGCGGCGGGGCGCGCGTGGCCGGTGCCCCTGTGAGCAAGCGGCGCCCGCCGCCAGCCCAGGCTGATGCACCAAAAGCGCTTGGTTATCAACGGCGGCGAGCTCATCACGCACCCCGCCCCACCTCCCCCCACCCGCGGGCCCTGGACTTGGCAGCGTGTGGGTGTTTGGCGGCCAGCCTGCGACGGCAGTCCTCATGGCAGCGCACGGGAGGGGGGCGGAGTTGGTGGAGCGTGCGTCGGTGGTGCGGGGCGCAGAGGCCGCCGAGCTGCTACGGAGGGCCGCCGCCGGCGAGCGCGTCGACGACGCCGGCCTGCAGGCGAGGGCGCGGCGCAGCGCAGCGTGGCGCGGCGCGGCGCGGCGTACAGCAGGGGACGCTTCGCAGGGGGGCGCTCGCGACAGCCGCTGGGGCATGTGGCGCCGGCGGCGGGCGTTATTGCTCTGCAAGCGAGACTGTCTCGCCGCGTTGATCCTCGGCCGTCCATTGAATGGCAGGGGCCGTGAAGCACGGCTCACCCGTCCGACCCTGCCCCACCCGATCCCAGACAACCCTTCACTTTGAACCCTAAACCCATTTTCTTTTGCGTCCCATGCAGGGGTCTTCGTTACCCTTCGAGTTGCGGCAGCTGTACGAGGCAGCCGGCCTCCGCAGCTTCGTCTACGCGTCCATCGGCCCGGCCACGGCGCCGCTCGGCGCGCTGCTGCTGGGCAGCTGCCGCCCGCAGGCGTTTGGAGACGACTGGTGGGGCGCCGCGCGCGGGGCGCGGGGCGGCCGTCGCCGCGGCTCGCGGGCCATCTTAGGACGGGGATGATTCAGGCTCAGCCACAGGGGGCCGCATGCACACACAGGGGTCGCGGACTACGTGGCCTAGATTGTCTTACTGTGGTACTGTCTCCAAGTCGGCAGCTGCTGAACAGGCTCCGATCTGCCCAGCAATCCTCCTGCAGCAGCAGAGATCCTCCCCGTTGACCCTTACACTCCCCGTTGTTCCCACCGCCATCCTCGCCTGCGCGCGCCCATGCGCCTCAAACCGTGCCCACCCCCAAGGCTCCAGGTGCGCCTCCACGCCGCGGCCATGGGGCTGCTGCACCATGTGCGGCAGAGCCAGGTGGAGCAGGTGGCGGGGCTGCTCAGGGTAATGGACAAGGCACAGGACCCTGTTAGCGTCATCAGCGCGCTGCTGCGGGTGAGCCGGCGGTCAGGCGCGCGCGTGGGGCTCGCGATTGCGCTGACGCAGGGTCAAACCCTCCGCACTGATAGGGTTTGACCGTGTACTCTGGGAAGGAAGAAAGAGGAGGATCACAGCAGGAGTTGATTACAAAGTCTTGAACCGCCCCGCCGCGATCCCAGCCGCTGGGTCTTACCGGCTGCCCTATCGCCGAGAGCCGCCGCCGCCCTGCCTTTCACCCAGCTCAGCGCCTTTTTGGTTGCAGCCCTGAGCCGCGCCCCATCCCTTGGGCCCCCGCATGTTTGGTGGCGGCGGCCGCCCCATCCTCTCTAATCCCTCGCCCACCGATCGCCCCACCACCGCCCCAACCCCCAAA